TTTTTTTCTTCTAAGAAAATACACTGGTCCCCTCCCTCTTTTTTTCTTGTTTTAAGACTGGGCTCCCCAATTCTGGATTACAGCTGTGTACTACCATTCCTGGCTCGTTTTCGTTTTCCATGGAGATGTGATGTGTTGGATGGGAGAGGTAGGCAGAGCTCTGGGAACCTGAAACTGCTGTAGCTTGTCCCCCTAGGGGTATGGACTGCTCTTACTGTGGTTTGAGCACAAAATGGTCCCCAAAGTTTACGTGTCAAGGCTTGGTCCCCAGCTGGAGGCACTGCTAAGAAGTGGTTGGACCATGAAGCTCTGACCTAACTGGCACATTAGTGCACTGATGAATCAATTATTTGACAGCATTTTGGGAGGTAAGGGAAACTAGGAGATGGGACACAGTTGGAGGAAGTAGGCCATTTGTCACCAGGGGTATGCCCCCAGCCCCTTCTGCTTTCTCTCTGCTTCCTGGTTGTCATGAGGAGAAGTAGTGTCTTCTGTTATGGGTTTCCCTGTATTGCCTCAGGCTTAGAGGCCATGGAGCCACTGCCTTTACTCACAGACTACATCCTCTGGAATCTCAAGCCAAAACAAATCTTTCGCCTTTGAGTTCTTTTCTCAGGGGGGTTTTGTCACAGTGATAGAAACCTCGCTAACACCTCACTCTCTCCCCAGCTTTCCCTGTAGGTGAGGCACACTCTGTCAGACCACAGAGAGCCCTGTTTCTTCCAAACCTGGAGTGGAAAACCCTACACTCTCAGTGGCTTCAAGATCACTGACTGGAGGAAGGCAGCATCTGGTCCAGGGAGCCTCTCACTTACCTTTCAGTGTTTTCAATGTCTGTGGCAACCTGCCAGGACTGCTGCTGGCTGTCTAGAGGGGATGAGGAGGAGTCCTCCAGGGCAGGTGTTTCTGCATTCTCCTCAGTTTTGCTGTCCAAACTCTTGGCTCCCCCACCAGCTTCTTTTCCTAAGGAAAAGGTATTGGAGAAGGAGAAGGGGTTAAGAAATCAGCAATGCAATTTCTGTACTCGGAATGTCAGACTGGCTATGCTTTGAGTCCAACACCTCATTAAACATGATGTTTCTTTGAGGTATAAAGCAATTGTGTGTGTGTGTGTGTGTGTGTGTGTGCTTGTGTATATAGTATGCTCTTACAACATTCTGGAATAATAGTTGAAGACAACACCACCTAAAGGTCAACACAAAATTAAGGGCCTTCCCTTTGATGAACAGTTGCTTTGTAACCTGGCATGAGTGACTCAGATTCCCCCTCTTGGGAGCAAGGATTTAGCCTGTGAACACAAGCTGGGTTTTGTTCTCAGAGTCAGGAGTGGAGTGTCAGGGTCAGAAGCAGGTGACACCCAGCGGGGAGAATGGGAGCCCCTGCTGTTTTCTCTGATCCTGGACACTGACTTTCTCAGGCTACAGCAGAGCATGGACCTGCCTTCCAGTTCCTTGGCTCTCCAACCTCCTTTAACACACTGGCTTATGTGAAGAAAAGCCAGGCCTGTGTTGTGTTGACAGAGTAAAGATTAATCAGCTGAAGGGCCCTGTGAAAAGCCTCCTCCTTAGTGGCTGTCACAGCAGAGCACTGCTTAGCCTTAACTAAGACTTGTGTTTACTGGAACTGGCCTCAAATAAATAAACCCCAAAACAACACTAAACATTGGTGCAACCATAAGGTGACATGAAATTAGATGGAGGGTCACAGTCCCCTGTCAAGGCACATCCTCTGTCACAGTCTCCTATTTTACCTTGAACATATTTACAGCCACAGGGGAGTATCTTGGCACAGTGGAAATGACCCACAAGGCCAGAGAACTTGGTTTTAAGCTTCTCCAGCTTGGTTACTTGTGTATTTGCTTCTTCATTCATATTCTGATCCAAGTATCTTGAGTATCAGCTAACTATCAAACATTACGCTTGATGTGAAAAAAACACAGAAGAAAGAACTGTTCTTTGCTTGTATTCCTCCTCCTCCTCACTTTTCTCCTCCTTCTCAATGTCCTTCTGATCTCTTCTTTTTTTTTTTTTTCTGCTTTCTCCCTTCTCCTATAGACAAGATCTTGCTATATAGCTCGGTATATACTAGCAGTATGTAGCTCAGGCTGGCCTCAAACTCATGGCAATCCTCCTACCTCAGTTTGCCTAGAGCTAAGATCTCAGGCGTGAGCCACCAGTAGACAAAAGCAAAAACTACACAAATAACTGCAAAGCTGCACTGCAACATTATGCAGTTTAGAGAAAAGGCATTGCCTGTGTTTCATACTTTCACTTCATTTTACTTTTATTATGTGGACATAATTCTAGAAATTGAAATTGTTGGCTGTCGTAGAGCATTTATGATATAGAAGTTTCACTCATCACCTCTTAGCCCCACCTTACCAATCCTTCTGAGATTTTTTTTTTTAAATAAAACAAGCAAAACCCCTCAAACTTGTGAAAAGATTTTTCCTGTAAGAAGTGGTAATAGCTCTCTGTCATCTGTCCTCTAAGCTAGCAATGCAAGGAGAAAGGGACACACCAGGAAGTAGGAACTGTGTACTCTTCCTCAAAGCACAGCAGAAATAGGCCTCAGAGACCTCAGCCAGAGCACAAACACCAGTTGCCTGATGGGAAGTTGTGATCCTCGGCAATGTACTCTGTGCACTTTGATCCCAGGAGATGTAGCTTCTCTGAGGAATTTCTTTTTTCCAATTTTATGGTATGCTGTTGGGGGAAGTTAATTAGGCACATAATTTTGCAGGTTATCCCTTCATAGTCAGAGGGCGGTGACCTCTTAACACCACTTGCATTTGTGTCCTGGTCCAAGAGTGCAGCTATCCATTTGCCACCACCTCTGGATAGAATTCATCTGCGTACTTGCACTGAGCTGGGTGATGTGGGAGAGGGCCAAGGGGGACTCCCCAGGGAAAAAAAAAACACTCTGCTTTTTAAACTTTGAAGGGTAGGTGACACAGGGGCATGTGTGGAACACGTCTTTGACTGATTATTTCAGAGGTGATCTGTGGAACAAAGGTTTTCATCCTTCTGGTGCCTCAAAATCTGCATCCTTTCCCACTCTCCCATCCACTGCACTTGCGTTCTGTTGGCTAGGCTTAGAGATCTATGTTCAAACTAAGTTTCTCGAGAACTTGGATGGCATTGTTCTCTCGTCTGCTATTTATAGCTAGTGATGCTTTTGTACGTAGTCTATTTATGGGTCTCTGAAAAGTTGTAGGGTATAATCTTTAAACTTTTGAATCCTAAAGTGGCTTCTAAATATGTCTCTGTATGAGTTCTTTTTTATGTTAACTTTTCTTGATACTTGATTAGGATTTACCCTTTATTTTGAAAAATTACCTATAGGAGGGCATCTAAAATTATATATGAATTTTTCATATATCTGGGATAAACCTTTTAAATATAAGTTACAGAACTTACTAATACATGCTCCTAAGTACTTTAGTAGTATATATTCCTTTATGAATCAGGATGTTATAGATGGAAGATGGCTCAGTGGGTAATGAATGGTAACATGCAGACCTAAATTCAAATCCCTGGTACCTGGGCAATAGCCAAGCATGGCTACCCATGCCTACAGCTCCAGCACTGGAAAGAAGAGGTAGACAGACCCTGGGTTCTCCCTGGATACCCAGCCTAGCCTGAACACTGAGCTTGTATTCAGTGAGAGATTCTGTGTCAAGTGAATAAGGCAGGCAGTGATATAGGAAGGCACTCAACACCCTTCCCTGGCCTCCGCATCTACAGGTTACATATTTACACCTGTGTATATCTACATGTGTACATCACACACACACACACACACACACACACACACACACACACACACACACACAAAACATTAAAAAAATGGAGAGGAAGAAAGAATAGGGATGTTTTATTAAATTACCCCCAAACAACGATCATACCAAATAATTCTAAAATGTTTCCTTGTATTCTTTTTATCTAATGTAGCACAGTTTCTAACATTCTCTTTAAAATTTTATTTTATGTTTTGTAATTTATTCACTTTGTATATCAATTGTAGCCCCACTTTGTGTCCTTCCAGTCTCCCCTATCCCCCTCCCCTAGTCCATCTCCTCCCCTGCCATCTGACCCTAGCCCATCAGGTCTCATCAGGACTGCCTGGTTTCTGGATCCTCTTCTTCTGTGGCCTGGTAAAGAAAATCCACCAGGGGAAAGTGATCAAAGAACAGGCAACCAGGTTCATGTCAGAGAGTGCCCCTGCTTTCCTTACTAGGGAATCCACATGGAGACTGAGCTGCCTATGGGCTACATCTGAGCAGGGGCTGTAGGTCCTCAGTTTGCACATTAGTCTCTGCAGCTCCCCCCCCCCCAGGGCCCAGATTTGTTGGCTTTGTTGTGGAGCTCCTGTCCCCTCTGGGTTCTTCTCTCCCTCCTATTCTTCCATAAGACCCTCTGCTCAAAGTTTGGCTGTGAGTCTCAGAACCTACTTCGATCCCCTGTTCGGTGGAGCCTTTCAGAGGACCGTCTATAGCAGGCTCCCATTCTGTTTCCTCTCTTCCACTGCCTCTGGTATCTATCATATTTGCCCTTCTGAGTGAGAATTAAGTACCTCCCCAGGGTCCTTGTTATTTAGCTTCTTTAGGTCTGTGACTTTAGTATGGTTATTTGCTATTATATGAGTACTACCCTTGCTTTTGTTTTGTTTTTATCTTGTGACTATTTTTGAATCAAGACTCCACAAGAGTCGTTTTTTAGAATGCCTTTTTTTTTCTTTTTCACACGGATCTGTCTGATGACCCCCATGTCTAGGTGTGTAGTAAACCTTTCAGCAAGAATATTGCAGAATAGTGCATGTCCCTGGTTCACGGCACAGGAAAACGTACAGGTCATTTGATCCATTGTTTATGATGTCAATGCTGCTAAAATGGCGAGTGGCAACTTTTAGTATTGTACTCCTCGCTTTCTTTTTGTTACTATAACTTATCGGGTGATTCATTGAGCTAGCACAAGAGTTTTCATTAACATATTTACGGGGCTAGGGCTCAGTGGTAAAGTACTTGCCATTACTCCAGTGTAAGGATTGGAGTTTGGATCACTTCAAAACTCATGTAAAGCAAGGTGAGCGTGGTGACTGTAATCTCAGTCCTGTGGCCATCTAGATGGAGGGGGGGGAGGTTCCCGGGACAAGTACGTTAGTGAGACTAGACCCTTGCTAAGGTCCGGGTTCAGCAAGAGATCTTTCCTCATGTTGTTTCCAACTTGGTACAGATAATTACTGTTTTAGGAATATGGCAGACTCATCAATAGAATGCATATAATTACACACATTTTAACCTTTTCATCCTCTTATTAGCTCTTCCAATGTTGGTTATTTGTTACATTTGGTATCTTCCTTTAGCAATGTTGATTTTCCTTGAAAATTTGGTCATTCCTGAATGTCTGTTCAGAGATGTCTTTGAGTGTTTCTGTCTATCCTTCTACCAGCAGTGTCCTAGCAATCACGGAGAATGGGCAGGGAACATGGCTGGCCTGAATGACTTTGAAATTTTTCCCATAGGTGCAAGACTTCCCAGGTCCCAAGCTCACACTTCCTGGGCTGTCAAGCTTTACTCCTGCTTGGAATCTCTGCTTTAGAGCGAAATGCTAAGAAGTTTAACTTAGTGTTGGTATTGACTGTAACACCGAATTCACTGTTTTTTTGTTTGTTTCTGTCTGTGTGCAGCGGTAGCATTATTTCACACACTGTTTTACTCCCCAAGATGGACACTAGTAGCTTCTGCTGAAAGTTGGCGTAGCCTAACTCTTTCTAAGCGCAGTTTCAAATATGAACTCCAACAGTTCTAGGAACCCTTCCTGTGGTGTGTATTTTTTTTTTTAACTAGGTTTAAAGTGTTTCTGGATTTGATTTCTTCTCCTCCTCCTCCTCCTCCTCCTCCTCCTCCTCCTCCTCCTCCTCCTCCTCCTCCTTCTTCTTCTTCTTCGTTTTACTACCATTTG